GATTGGAAAAATTTCCGAATCGTACTCCAAAGCTCGTGCGAACGTTGATAATGAATTACGCGAGCATGAAGTGATTCCGATAGAGAGGAAAGAAGCCATGAGAAAAGCATATGATCTTGTTGTTCCCATGCAGCATATTCATCGTTGATTGTCCTGGTTCCGTCATCGTCATTGATGAACTGAGCTGGAATCTTCGGATTTTCCACAAATTGCAACAATTTGTGTGCTCGAATGATGGATTCGATATGATGCTTCCAAAGAAGAAAGTTGTTTGAACCAAGTTTGATTGGGAGAGGATGCGTGAATACAGCTGGAAACGTGATATTCCCAGCTGCGGAAGAAGAAGATGTCGTAGAAGTTGAATTTGTCATGGTAGATCAAGCTCAAAGCTCTGATACCATATTAGAAAAGTAGCCAGAATATAAAATGAAGTAGAAGGATTTCATTAATCACATAATACCAGTACATCAGTATTTATAGAGAAGTGGTATAACCAACTTGTAACTGAATCTAAACAGCTTGACTAACTATAACTGGCTAACTGAATACTAGGCTTATTACACTATTCGTAGATATAGTATCTCTAACAGTCATCAACCATGACTAGGGTGTACTTCTTGCCACCAACACTTGGAGTCTCAATCGGTCCAAATAAATCCATGTGAACCAGATTTAAAGGACTTGTAGAGAGATCTCCAGCAATGGGTTTGAAAGAGTTCTTCTGTTGTTTTCCCTTCTGGCATGCACTGCAGAGGGTCTCTTTCTTGTAGGCTATGTCTGGCAGTCCTTCTACAATGTGTTCTCTTGCCAGTTTGTTGATTGTTTTGAAGTTCAAATGGCTAAGCTTCTTGTGTTAGTCCCAGCTTAGTTTTGAATCTCCCTTGGCTATCAGGCATACTCCATCTTTTGCAGTTTTCCAATCAACCAAATAGATGTTCTTCTTCCTTGTTGCTGTAAGAACCACTTCTTTTGTTGTCTCATGCTTCACATAGCAGAAGTCCTTTGTGAATTCAACAGTATAGCCTTTGTCACAGAATTGGCTAGCACTTAGAAGATTGAACTTGAGACCTTTGACATAAGAAACATCATCAATGACTATCTGGTTCTTGATCAGCTTCCCTTTTCCTTTTGTTTGACCTTCTTTATCATTACCTCTAAAGGTAACTCTAGGTCCTTTGCATTTCTGGAACTCTGTTAGGCAACTTCTGTCACCTGTCATGTGCCTGGAGCATCCACTATCAATAAACCATTCTTGCTCAGAGATAGCTCCAGCACACAGTTCTTGCATGATCAAAAGAAAGATTTAGGTACCCAAGCAATGTTGGGTCCTGGGGGGTCATGGAGTCTGGGTAGTTGGTATCATTTTGGTCTCATCAAATGAAACCTTGGTGAGTGGTACTCATTGTCCACCTGGTAGTCATAGTAAACCGAAGTGTGATTCACTTTGGGCAGATGCTTGTGAGGGTCATGCTTCATGTTTACATATTTTTGCATACCTTTCTTGGTTGGAAAGAAGTCCCATATGTTATCAAGAGCAGAGGGGTGGTTAGCTTTGTCTTTTGAATTGACCAGCCAACCTCTTCTGCCTAAAGTTCACTTTCTCTTGATACCTGCCCTTCTGGTGATCATTTCTAGCACGGTTATCATGAGGTTGTCTGTTGGGGTTTTGTCTTTGATTTTTCTGAAAACCTTTTCTGTTGTTAGGTTTTCTGCCAGGTTCATTGATTTTCAAAATGGGTTTCTGTTGAACCTTTATCTTTCCTTTTTCTGGTCTGACTTGCTCATGAATAACTTTGGTGCCAGATACACCAGCATGGCAAATGGGGCTAGAAATCAGTGGCACTATGACCTTGTCTGCCTTAGCAACACTGGTGCTAGGCATTACAGAAGGCTCACCTGATTCTGTTGAGCCATATCCAAGACCAAAATCAACGCCAATCTGTTGGTCAAGTAGTAACCTTTCCATTGAAGATTGGGCCTTCTGGTAGGTGTTGTACTTGATCTCAACTGACTCTATTTCCCTTATTTTCTTTAGAAGAGAAACATTTTCAGCTTCCAGTTGATCTCTTTCTTTAATGAGAAGGTTGATTTTGATCTCAAACTCCTTTCTTAAATCAAGAATCTCAACCTTCAACCTACTGTTTTCTTCTTTAACAGAGGAGTAAGTGGTTTGGATGGCTTTAAACTCTTCTCAAAATTCTGACATTTAATCAGAATTGAAAGTTAGGCCTACCGAAGAAAAACTAGATGTAGAAGTAGAGGTTACCTCATCATCAGAATAGGCCATGAGGCATAGGTCTTCTGTTCCAGCATCCAGGCAACAGAAGGCCTCATCAGATGTTACCTCTTGCTCATCACCTGCTCCAATAAGCTCAAGAGTATCCCAGATTTCTTTGGCAGTTTTGCACTTCTTAATTTTGTTGAAGTACCTATCATCGATGGACTTGTAGAGGATGTACTTTGCAATATTGTCCAGATTGTACTTCCTTCTTTCTTCAGTGGTCCACTCAGATTTGGCCTTATTGATCATCTGAGGTCTGGTGTTGTCAATTGCACGCTCAGGATTGACCTTTTGGAAGTTTGTGAATGACCCAATATAAAATACTTCCCACATCTCATCATGAAGAGCACAGAGATGTGCCTTCATCCGGATCCTCCAGACATCAAACTTAAGATCTGAAAACATAAGGTTCTTGGAAAGAGAGTGATCCATAGTATGAGATTAAAACTGAGGCAAAAAGAAAACAAGTGGATCTTTGTTCAATAAATAACCTAAAAGATTATTAGAACAAGGAGGCTCTGATACCACTTGTTGGTCCCGGTTGTGGGGGGTGAATAGACTGTATTGGTTTTTAACTTTTTCAATCTAAGTACCAGATTTAACAAAATAGCATGTTCTGTTGACAGAACAGACTAGCAGCGGATGGTCTTCTGGTAGAAGTTCTGTCCGGTTAGCCTCTAAGAGGTGCAAAGGCAGTAGGCCTTCTGTTAACTCACAGGAGGGGTTCTGCTGAACAAAGAGACCCAAATTCTGGAGTTAATCAATTAAAGATAAATGCAAGAATTAAAAGCAGTAAGTAAATGACACCAGGAATTTTTATAGTTGTTCAAGGAACAACTCGTTCCTCTAATCCACTGTTCCACTAAGCTTGTAAAAATCCAATTACACAGCATTAGTCCTAGCACTTAAGAAGCTCTCCACGTCTTCTTCAAGTCTAGATGTCTCCTGGGATGCACTTCTTTGCTTCCTTTAAGACTGGGCCTCTCACTGAGCTTCCTGGAAGTATCACCACTTCACTACTCCAGTTACTTGGACGTTCTTCTCGTTGGAGAAGAGTTCTTGAGAGAATAGGGGTTTTCCAACTAGCTTCGTTACAAAAGATTTGTTGTTGAAGTGCTTGAAGTGTTGAAGAACAGTTGGAACTTTGCTCTTGTTGGGATATGAAAATAGAGAATATTATCTTCCCAACATACGTCTTCTTGTTGATGATGATGAAGTTTTTATCTCAAGACGGCTTGTGCGTTTGAATTTTTGAATAATTTGAAAGAGCACGAGTTTTTCTAAGTTTTTGCAAAGTTGTGTTTTTTTGTTGTTCTTCAAGTAGTATCTTTTATACTGGGGTTGTCTTCCCGTTGGAGGAGGACAACTGCATTAAATGAGCGAATAGTTGACTTGACCAGTAGGACCCGGTAAAGTTGGCGGGTTACTATTTTGGGATAAAGATATCTTGAAATATCCTGGAATGTCGGCCAATCATCAGTTTTTACTCTTCAGGGTACGGGGTGCATTAAATGTGCATTTAATGCGCGTATTGTAGCTTTTCCGTTGAAGTCTTCTAGCCGTTGAAGGAATCTTCAGATGGTTTCACCAGCTTGAGTACTTTCATGAAAATTCTCTAAGTGTCAGACCTTCTGGTGTCTTCAGCAGTGGATCAACCAGAGAGGGTCTCGAGCACTTTTGTTGGACTAGCTACCAGAGGGTCCTTAGGTCTTCTGTCAAGAGGCGAGTCAACAGAGGGTCATGACAGTTTCTGCTCTTAGTGAAATCTAACAGAGAGCCAGGAGATCTTCTGTCTGGATATGAGCCAGCAGAGACCCAAAGGTCTTCTGTCAGACTAAGCCTATCAGAGGGTCTTCTGTCAGGAGATCTTTTGTCAGTCGACTATACTAAAACATATACAAAGAAAATTCTAATACAATTTTCAAAGGGGGTACTCTAAAGTCCTATAGCATCATCAAAATCTAATTACAACTATTCCTTACAGAAAGACTTAAGGTTGCTAGTTTTAATTAATTTTTAATGTTGGTAAATAAATAATTTTCACTAATTCATGTTCAAAAAATATTAATTTTCACTAATTATTTTTTCAAAACAATTAATACACGATGGTTGTGTATTAATGGTAATATGTACCACATCAGGTGACACATGATGCCATGAAAGATCCAAAATGAAAAGTCAAGTTAGCAAAAAATGTTAAACATGTGTCACATGAGCAAGACTCATGAGCAAGACTTAACGACGATAATGCATAGGCCTCCCCTATAGTAACTGTGCAATGCCACACATCCAAATTTGTATGAAACAAACCACATACATCTAAGTCTAAACGCGTCCAGCCACAAAATACTTTTATGAATATTTCCAAAGTTATAAAAAACAACTACCCCTCGAACCCAATTATAGGAGCAATATTTTTGTATGCAGCATGTGGGAATTTCTTGTACATCTAGCAATACTTCTATCAACCTACTTAGGGTGATGCACATTTCATTGAGGTATGATACGTAGACAATGTCAAAAATTATTCTAACATTTAAATGCATCATTTCCTATAATCGGATAATTCTATTGGCAGGTGTTACCGTGTTAGTGACTTGTCCAAACAAAATCAGGAATACAAGACAAAGAAAAGAGCATGAATGCCAAATTTGTTTGAAAAGATAAAATATGAAACAACTATCAATAGGAGAGATGTGGTCTAAATTTTTAAACCAACCTGCATAAGCCGTTCCCGTAAAGCGGGGTTAGGATCTGTGAGAAGGCGCTTCGCAATATAAGGATATGCAACCTGGTATATTTCTTGTGAATTAATAGAATACACATTAAAATGAAGCATATAAGATAATAAATCATATAATATAATAATTTATTCCGAATTAACTTATATATTATAAAACTTCAAACAAAGAATTTAAATTAATTAAAAGTAAAAGTGAAATAAACCTAAAGGAAAAAATATAAGAGCTATACCAGTAACAATAATAAAATAACTAAAAACATGAAATAAAAATAGAATAGGAAGTAAACAAAATAACTTTTTGGTAAGAAATAATTAAACAAAAGAAGTATGAACTAAGATAACAAAACACATAATTAAGAACATAGAATCCAGCTGCAAAGTTAATTCCACTCAATGTAATATAATATGTATAGAATAATGGTTTATTCCTTAAAATTACTATATGGATGCCTTATTCCAAAAAGCGACTGTTTTACATATGGACAAAAGTGTTATTAACAAGCCAATAAAATTGGAAAACTATGAAGTCACTACCAGTTTATTGTGTCACTACAAGATACTGTCGGCGTTACTGTCTCCTTGGAGACCAAGTCACTGTGGCTTAAAAAACCTTTTCCAACAAATTTTCAGGAAAAAACTGAAAAACGGGGGAAAATCAGCAATCACCGCCACCGCAGTGGTTGCCAGAGGCGGGAGGCAGGAGTGGAGCAGGGGTGGACAATTGGGAAGTCATTTTTATATCTTCTACAAGTGTAGAAATATATTCCCCGCCACAAATTAATGATCACACTTGTTTGTGCTCGTAGATTAAGAAAACGGTATAAAGTACATAAACTGTCGTTGTTGGTGAAAAAGAAAGTATAGTTGGAATGATAAAGTTATAGATTTAAGTAAAAGGAAGAGTAAGTATGAATGATATGCATGATCATTTGCCAAAAAATAAACGTAATCTTTGTTTTGAGACATCAAAAAGTAAATAGGTAATTATTATTTGGGATGGAGGCAGTAATATTTATGCCATTTTTTCGTATAATAACAAAAGAAACAAATGATTATGCACACATGGAATCCGGCTGTAAAGTTATATCCACTCGAAGTAACTTCATCTGTAATACAATATCTAAGCCTTAGTCCCAAAAGAGTTTGGGGTCAGCTAACATGAATTGACACATGAAATCGGAGCTAAAAAGATAAGAAGGATAAGATAAAAAGATAAGATAAAAAGATAAGAAAGATAAAAATATACATTAAGATACTCCCTTCGTCCCATTTTACATGTCCTAATTTCCTTAATGAGTTGTCCCAAAATAAGTGTCACATTTCCTGTTTTTGGAAAGAAATATGTGTCTACAACATTTGCCAAAATAATCAACGTAGAAACCGCTGCTTAGAGCCAAAAGGCTGAAATCCAATTTTATTAACTGATGAGCCAGAATGAATCCTAATCGAGCCCAAATTAGGCCCAAATTAACTCCACTAAATACTTTACTAATAACAGGCCCAAACTAGAAAACATAACATAAAGTTTATAATAAGTAAAACTAAAAGTTGAGAGGAATTCTGGGATGAAGAATTCCCAGCTCTTTTGCGATGAAGAACAGCGCAATCAAGGAATTCTGGGGTTTTTGATGCTGTTATTTGTGTTGATATCTTCTCATGATTCATCACTGTAACTATTCGTACCTTTGTCTGATACTGGATTGTGATTTTAAGGCCTGAAGATAAAGCAATCGAAGGAAGAGGTCGCAGTTCACTGTTCATTCGCGTTTCCGACCTGCGAACTGGGAAGGTACGGTGAACTCTGTTTTTCTCGTTCGTTTCTTTGCTCTGAGGTCACAGGGTGTGTCTTGCTTCTGAGGGGGTGAGATTTCGCCATCTCTTGGTGAAGCTCGCTGCTCTTGGTGAAGCTCACAGGTCTGCCTGCGACATTTCCGTACGGCTGGGCGTTTTTGTGCAATAGATTTCAAATGGTGAGGAAGAAACAGGGGGGTATTGAGGGCTCTATTACTAGGAATACCAGGTCTGCAAAGTTTGGTATCCTGGAAGGAAGGGATGAGGAGTTCCCTGCCCTCAAAGCTGGAACGTCCCAAAAACCTGCGTCTGCTCAGACTGCTGGTACTGACCCGACCGGGGGTGTCCTGCACCCGACCGGGTCCCTGGGACAGAGTGCTACTTTGAGCTCTGCAGAAGTCCAGACAGCTGCAAATGGTGAGATTATCCCTCATGTTGGACAGGGCACCAAAAAATGGACAGAATTGCTTCGTGACAACCGTGCTCCCTCCAAAGGTATTAAATTAAAATACGTACCTTCGGTTGATGATTGTGTTGATCTTTCAAATTGTGTATTACCTTCGATGGTCTATTTGTGGGGGTATTGCCTTGTTGGATGCTTTACAGGAAGGTTTCCCGGGCTAAAAGCGATATATGGGTTAGTGAAACGTTGGGGTGTACAATGTACGGTGAAACCCCATGACAAAGGGTGGGTGGTTTTTAAATTAAAAACGAGCAAGACCATACTAAGGTCTTCACCGAGGGTCCCTATAATCTCTATGGAAGACTTCTTATTTTGAAGATGCTTTCCGATGACTTCACTTTTGACGATGAGGCATTCCTATAGGTGCATATTTGGGTTATGTTTCCCAATCTACTGCTGAATTTATGGAATGAAGAGGCAATGAGCAAGATTGCATCGAAGGTGGGTGTTCCTATCACCACGGACAAGGTCACACAAGAGATGACAAACTACCATTTTGCAAGGGTTCTCGTTGAGGTGGACATTACCAAGGCGCCTTGCCTCTCCTTTCCTATCCGTTTGCCTTCGGGGAAAATCTTTAAACAATTGGTGGTGTACGAGACTTTCCCTAATTTCTGTTTTCATTGCAAATCATATGGCCACCACCCCTTTATTTGCAAACAATTGGGATGGAAAAAGAATGAAAAAGAGGTGATGAAGGATGGTGGGAAAAACATTGAGGAAAACATTGAGGCTGCTTCCCTTGAGATGGTGCACCACAAGGCCAAACCGAAGGGGAAGGCTGTGGACAAAGCGCAGCCTGTAGCTACTGCCCAGGGGGCAAACCCGAACGGGCCTGGCTCTAACCCGACCGGGTCCCTAGGACAGAATGCAGACCAGGTTTCTAATGTTGCTGCGCAGACTTCCAGCACTGTCCGGAAGCCCATTTCAGACGCGAAAAAAATCCAGAAGCCTACTGGGACCACGGAAGAGGATGCCGAGGGGATTGTGGAAGATATTGAGAGAATAGTGACGGAGGAGAAGGACCTACATCAGTATGACGTTGTCATTAAATGTGAGGTAATTAAAGATAAGCTCAAGTTGATTGTTAAACCTTTTAGGTTCGTGCAAACGAGTGTGATTAGAGTTGATACTTCGCTCCGACTTACGGATGATCCGGATAACAAAGGCCTTACTTTTACCGCCACATGTTTTGAGGATTTACCGGGAGTGACTAAAAAGAAAGGCGAGGTTTTCTTTGACCCAAAGTTCACCACCCCTTTCCGCAAGTTCTTTGGAGTTTAGATTAGGGATACCTAATTTTGTTGAGGTAGTGTGACCTGTTTTGTTCTTAACTATGGTTAGGTTCAAATTCTGATATTGTTTGAGCATTTGCTTTAGATTTGTGGTATCCCATTTACCGGGATATGCACTTTTGGTTGTACACATTGACTTGTTCAAGGTAGTCAAAGTCGTGAGGCGCACTCAAGGTGATGGGGTAATTCCAGCGCCTGAGGCGCAAGGCGCAAAAAAACGCTTGCCTGACTCATGTCAGGCGCATTGCTTAGAAAATATCACACATACTATTCTCAAATGATTAAGCATGATGTATATAACACCATATTGAACTAACTACATTAAAAAGTCATGGTTTGATCAAATAAAATCATATTTCACCATAATAAAGTCACGATTGACCAAAATAAAGTATATATACAGCAACCTATGACACAAAAAATGGACTGGTAGTATGTATACATGATAAAAAAATGGTAGTTTGGTAGTATGGACTGGTAGTATGTATACATGGTCAAAAAAGGGTAGTTTGGTAGTATGTTCTAGATAGTATGTATACTGGTAGAGTGGTAGTATGTACTTCAACAAGAAGTAGCTGGTAGTTTACATATACATGGTGAAAAGATATACTGGTAGTTTACATGGTGAAAAAATATACTGAAAAATGAAAAAAGAAATAAAATGGAACGAATGGAAGATGAAGAAGAAGAAAGTTTACTTTCAACGTTGAGTGCTACACTGCTGCAAGCTTTGGGGTTGATGTGGAGAGACAGGAGCTGGTAGCGAACAGGTAACAGTAGAGAGCCATAGAACGCATAGCAGGAGGAGGTTTACGTTGTGTGTTTAGCGTAGGTTACGTCTTTTTGACCTTATTTGCATGGGCTTTATTAAAAATATGGGCTTCTTAAGGTCTTATTTGAACGCACACGTGAAACAGCCTCAGTAAACTTAAAATAAACGCTTCCCCTGTCAGGCGCAATGGGCGAGCGCTTAAAACGACTACTGCGCTTCTGCGCTTTGTGCGCCCAACCTGCGCTTGAGAGGGGATGGTGCGACTGAGCTTGTGTAGGGCACTGGAGGCCTCTGGCGCTGCGCCTGGTGCGCTTAAGCGCTCAGGCGCACGACTTTGACAACCTTGGACTTGTTATTTTCTTTAGGTGTTAATATATATTTACATTTCATCCAAAAAAAATATAATAAGTAAAACTAAAACCCTAGCCAACAACCAGCCCACGAAGGTGGGCTCAAGCCCGTCCCTGCACGCAGTAAACTGAAAGAGGCCTGGATCTTGGACCCTCATCTTCCGTACAGCCCCCTGCTCTCCCTGCTCTTTATCAATATGCAGGAAATTCCGCTAGCCCAGAATGATCGGAAGGTAATTCCGATTACTCACCTTCGCATCATGAAAGTAATCACCACAGGGACCACAGTTTCCCTCTATTCAACGGGGATGATGCCTATGGTTGGTTAGTCAGAATGGATCGATACTTTAGGCTTACTAACGTTGATGAAGATGATA